AATGGATGGATGAATGGATGGATGGATATTCCATTATATGAGATAAGACAATAACATATGTTGAAAAGCACAAAAAATAGAATAAACACAATAAGATAAGAAGATCCTCAAGCATCTTGAAACCGAACCAGACTTGCTAGGGAGAGTCATCACCGGTGAGGAGCCATGGATGGAACATGTTTTTTGTGCTTCAAAAACACAGATAACATCTATGAAATATAAAGGAAACATTCAATAAATGACAGATTTGTTTTTTAACATGTGCAGCAGGTGGTTACAGTAAAGTAGTCCAGGACTCTATTATCAAGAATGAGTTTATCTATAAATTATACTACGTTCAAAGTGTCTTTTGAAAGATCCAGTTTTTCTCTGGTGTCTTTCACACAAACGCCTGCACATGCTAACAAGCCGTCATTTATTCCTCACTCCATCCAGCTTTGAGTTTTATTGATCGCTCTTGCTCTTTTTCAGTCGTGAGCTTTTTCACATTGGCACAGGTGCACGCCTTCACACTTAGGATCTGACCAGGGCAAGCACCGTCCTCTGCTGTCGGCCACTGAGCAGATGGGAGGTAAGACCCTACTAACCCCGTCTTGCATCAGTACTCACTGTGGCAGCTGCTGAAGGAAAGACAAGAGCACTGCTCAGGTTTGGAGATTTGTAGCAGCCACAAGCGCAAAGCTTCAAGCTTTGGATAACTTCAACCCACAGCAGTTTGTATCAAACCCAGCGGTACGATCCGGGGAAGACGAGGAAGTTCATCTAAGCCTGCTTCTGCGAACAGTGTGTCTTTTTTGTGACATTTTTCAACTGCAGCTTTAAATAACCAACAAATGGCTCCTAAGAAGCAGCTATTCACATGATGCTTGTGCATATCTGCATTTCTCTGAAAAAGGGCCAACTATAGGAATAAAAAATATGAGGCGTACAGCACTGTGCGAATGTGTTAGATTCTCAATCTATCATTCTATCATGCAGCACCAACAGGGAGGCGTCTGATTGGTTCCACATTCAATCTGCAGCAATGACGACGGGCCTAAACATAGAGCTAAAGTCATAAAGGAGTCTTTTCAGCAACAAGGAGAACAAGGAGTCCTGATCTCAACATCATGGAGTCAGTCTTATTTTAAATGTAAACACAGACGAACTGTGGGAAGTTCTCCAAAGTGCTTGGAATGACATACTTACCAAGTACCTAGAGAAAGTGTGTTCACGGAGAATTGGTGGTCACAGCAACATGATTTATTTTGTATTGCACCTGTGTGAAGTTCAATGACAAACAGAAACTGTTTGTCACTATCGTTGTGATCCTAACTTTAATTTTAATACTTTTTAAAACTTGAAATCAGCCAACAATTTACAAAAGATGTTGTTGCTGTTGTTTCCCATCGTGAAGAAAACGGTAACACACGGATAGCAGACAGGACGAAGCCATCCATCCATCCATCCATCCATCCATCATCTATACACCGCTTAATCCTCACTCGGGTCACGGGGGGCTGGAGCCTATCCCAGCTGACTTAGGGTGAAGGCAGGGGACACCCTGGACAGGTCACCAGTCTATCACAGGGCTACACTTAGAGACAGACAACCAATTTAGAATCACCAATTAACCTCAACATGTTTTTGGACTGTGTGGGAGGAAGCTGGAGAACCAACAGTGCTACGTGCTACTAACTGCGCCACCTTGCAGCCCAGGACGAAGCCAACTACGTTTCATTTTTATGGCCAGCAGGGGGCGACTCCTTAGATCATCACACTGCCTCCTTGATTTTTCCCATAATGCATCCTGCTGCAATCTATTCTCCAGGTAAATGATGCACTTATCCGTCCACATGATGTAAAAAAAGATGCGTTCCATCAGACCAGACCACCTTCTTCCATCTCGTGCCCATCGTTGGAGCGTCCGCTGGTCATCAGGAGTCAGCACAGGCACTATGACTAGTCTGCAACACGTGTTCTGACACATTTCTATCACAGCCAGAATGAATGTTTTTAGCAATGTGGGCTGCTGTTCGCTCCCCAAACACATCAGTGCACCTTTGCTGCCCGTGACCCAGTCACCAGTTCACCGTTTGTCCTTCCTTGGACAACTTTAGCTGCATACTAACGACATCATAAAAAAAAGCACCCCACCAGATGTGCCGTCTTGGAGATGCTCTGACCCAGAAATCACAATCTGGTCCTTGTCAAAGTGGCTCAGATCCTTCGGCTGCCCATTTGTCGCGCTTCCAACACGTCAGCTTCAAAAACTGACTGCTGACTTGCTGCTAAATATATCCCCTGTCTTGACAGGTGCCACTGTAATGAGATAATCAATGTTATTCACGGAAACTGTCAGTTTTAATGTAACAGCTCATCGGTGTGTGTCAGTAATCACAGCGTCGCTCTGAGGTCGTACTGAGCCGCAGCGCTAATATGAACACACACAACACAAACATGTTGTTTAACAGGTAAAAGTCGGCTTGTAGATGTGCCATCTGTCTTGCAGGTATTTTTTTTTTCCTTCCAAAAAAACAAAGTGTCTGACAAATTGATATTTTGACACGATGATGATGGTGGTGGAAGAACTCAGGGGATCACAAAAGTTATTAGAATTCATCCCACAGGCAACATGATTATTTCTACAAAATGTGGGGCGATCCATCAAGTAGATGTTTGACAGATTAAACTAGAAAAGGAAGGAGATGAGAGGAAACTTTGGATTCCACCTAAGGCAAACATGAATTTCTGCAGAAAGTTTCATCGTAATCTTTCCAGTAGCCGGAGAATATTGAATAAATACACATGAAAGACAAATGAGCTCAGGAACACTCAAGCACAGCCAGTGACTTCTGGTACAAGCGATTAATTAAAGTCCACGTTTGAAAGCTGGTCAGATCTCTTATCTTTTCTCCGCTGTGTCTGAAAGAAAGAAGTCAAAACACACTGGACCTGCCGGTAATAGTCACTCAACGTGTTTTTGACTTGGAGATAGAATCAGTCTTGATGAGACCAATTACAGCCGTTTCTATCTCTGGAGAAAAGGAAGGGGCGAGAATGAGGATCAAGATAATAAAACACAAATGATTAATGCGAATTTCATTTTCAGAGCACGACTCATCGAGGCAGGTGGGCTGCGGGTTTCGGACCAGAAAGAACAGTGTGAATGTATATTTCATAACAAGACCTGGATGTAAAAATAATTATATTACGGTGCACTTTGAGTAGCAGTCGGAGGAGGAAAGAAGCGTGCGGGGAATGAACAAACAGCACCTGTAGCCAGCATGTGGAAAGCTTAAATGTATTCCCGCTGACCTGTGGTGAGATCCCTGCAGAGCTCTCTCTGCTGAGCTGCTTCAAACTCTGGATCAGCTCCTGTCCTTTAAAGCTGCTCCCAGCCATGTCAGAACAAAGCTCCAAAGAAAATCACATCTTTGATACCAGGTTCACACAGAAGCCTTTAAGGCACATCCACCATCAAAAAACTTAATTGGTAAAGACGGGATGAATTACTGTAGTTTCTTAAAACTGAAACCAATCATAATTTTGAAAGAACAAAAAAAAAAGAAAAGGAGACTGTTAAAAGGGCCTCTGGAAATGTGTTATTTAAGTGAAATGCAAAAAGGAGTCACATTTTTTTTTTAGTGCAGCTGAAACAAGAAGTGGCTCAGCGGTGTTTGTCTTCTGAAAGCAACTCACATTTGTTCTATTTCATCTTCTTAGTGCCTTAAAGCATCTGAACTAACCTGATAGAGGTATCAGGAGCCTTATTGATTCCACCACTTTGCTGTCTTCAAGTTTGAACATAAAAGTCTTTGTCATCTTTGCATTTTTTCAAAACATGCAGCAGTGTTTCAATATATGGAAAGCCTCTATTCAAGAGCTGCATCAAGAAGCATCACTAAATGTTTACCTCCCAGGACCTGCTGTCAGCTAAAGGGCTTTAAATATATTTGCTTTTCCTATTACACGACACCTGAAATCATCTTAAAAGGGAGGGAACAGCGCCTGCTGAGTCTCGCACTGTGTTTGGTGAAGCCACAGCAGATGCGCGCGCTAAAGAGTCAGGTCAGAGTTTCGCTCCCACAGATAAAAACAGAGGAGGGGGCGTCACTGCTCATGCAGTCAGCCTTGATTGGATTGTGGATACATCACATAATCCGTGTAAAAAGTGGGGCAAGTCCACGCCTGCTCCAAGTCAAGGCAGAGGATACGCGCGTTTGGAGAGCGCGCAAGTTTTGCCACCACAAGTTTGGAGAGGAGACGCCGGCTGGAGAGCGCACGGTCTGTGCGCTTCTGTTCCAACCTCACCGAGGCGATTTTTTAAAAAAGGATCTGAAGATGAACCACACTGGCGTGCTGTGCAAAAATAACCAGACATACAACTTTACTGATCAGTCATGTCAGAACTCAACTGCACCGCCTTACAGCCACATCGACATCACCACTTTCATGCACATTTTCCCTTCGATTTATGGCATCCTGTGCTCGGTTGGAGTTATAGCCAACGGGCTGGTGATCTACGCGGTGGCAGCGTGCAAGAAGAAGATGGTCTCGGACATCTACGTGCTCAACTTGGCGATTGCAGACATGCTCTTCCTGCTTGTGATGCCCTTCAACATCCACCAGCTGGTCAGGGACAGACAGTGGGTTTTCGGAAACTTCATGTGTAAGGCGGTAGTGGTGGTGGATGTGAGCAACCAGTTTACCACAGTGGGAATAGTTACTGTGTTGTGCATTGACCGGTAAGTCTTAAATCAATTCATTCCACAGATGTGCTGTCAATTCTTGGAAATAGTTGAACGCTTTTAGTGTTTCAGTTAACAAAATGTGCACATAGGTTAACAGAAATCCTAAAAGAACTTCGTTAAAAGTGCAGATTTTTCCCTGTTACCTCTTTCATTTTTAATCTATTTTTGCAACTTTAATCACAGATGTTTGAGTTTACAAACAGAAATCCATAAATGCCCAGCCTCACTGCTTGTACAATAAAGTTGCCACCCTTTTAAAGCAGCTAATCCCAATCACAAATCCCTCTCCATCTGAAAATGTAGCACTTGAGTGGGTTAATCATCTCTTTAACAGTCCATGAAGACACACTGTTCCCTTGCATAAATGCTACACGTGTGGTGTTTATGATCTGAATGCATTCAAGACAATTAAATGAGTCCTTATGCCACATGTTGAACTGATAAACATCTCCATTTGAAGGTAATATCTGGACCAGGAGGGCCGTAATGTCACACATCTGTGCTGTAAAGCACATCATATATTTCTATAGGATCATTAGACCTGCTGGTTGCAGAACTAAATGTTCAGAAAATGATCCTTTAGAAGCCCCATAACAGCCAGCAGTGGTCTTGTTACTTTCATTTAGTCAGTTATGGTATTTGGCCTTGAAAATTTATCAATCATCTCAGTTCAAGTTTCTTTTTTTGCAGCAAATACTAAAAAAAACCCAGCTCTTTGAAAAACTCAAAGCAAGTAATTGTGGGCTGCAAACTGATGTCGAAAGGAGATAAAACTAAGAGACTAATGCCTAACAAACAAAGAACCCAAAGTCTCACAATAAAAGGTTTGAAAAGCACAAAAAGGTAAATAGTTTGTGTGACAAACACCTTTCACTGGGCTGAATACATGTGTTATTTGCCGCCTTAATTAAATCAAACTGTTGTGATTAGAGTTTTCCATTTAACAGCTCCAATGATTCTTGTCACCCCTGAGTCCTATAAAATCCAAATCGCATTTCTTTCTAATTATTTGTTTAGGAGCACAGAATGTAGTCACGGCGATAAAGTTAATTTCTAACATCATTGTTGCCAAATTCTACTTATTAAAAAAACATATATCTGCTCGCTAATTCCATGTATTTTCTCCTAATCTGTCTTTAGGGACATCACAACCTGAAGCTAGTGTGGGTTTTTTTTTGTTTTTTTTCTCTGGTGGTGCCAACAAAGACACGGTTGTAATCAAAAAGTTATTTCTGCTTCCACCGGTTAATCTCAGTTGCTGGAGAATTTCATTTCACAGGAGTTTTGCGGATATCAACGCGATCTTGTTTCCAAGTCGCAGCGGAGCTAAATACAAAAGGAAAAACATTTGCTGAAGAGAAACTTGAAACATGCCAGCGTCTACCAGTACACGCTGTAGAGTGTGTTTTATTTTAGAGAGTCTAGACTGCTGGAATAAACATCTAGAAACAGATGCTCTCTGTGGCTGTAACATGGTGTTCGTCTACATCCTTAAATCAGACAGTTCATCCCTCTGTGGTGTAAAAAAAAACAGAGTATAAAATATTTGTTGTTGCGACAGACTGAGGTTTAGGTTTGTCGTCGTATCAATATTTAACTGAAGCTAGAGGCCTGACTCTGTATCTACACACACTGGTTACTAATAGAAGACGCACTAATAATATATTTTTCTTGCTTCAGATGAGAACAGCAAGTCTTGTTCTTGACGGTCTTAACGCTCAACTGTTGATAGAAACGGATAATTGCAATTTTGCAGGAAGTCCAGGAGAAAATTGCGAGGATGCGGGCGCGTTCACGCCCCTTAAATGTCACCAGACAGGTCGGGAACAAACAGAGTAACATAAAACAGCGACTGGAAATATGTAATTTGCTCTACTTAAATGGCACTTGGGGGGTAAGCGGTGACAGAGTGATTATTTTTTTTTCCCAGCTCCTCAAACTGAAGCACAATTAAAAGCAAAAAATCCGAAGGGAAATGTGTTTATATTCTTCTGCTAAGTCACCCTGACCAAATTATACTAATTTGTCAGTGCATCCATCACTTTACCGAGCACGTAATATATTGAGAGCGTATCTCTGACATGGCGCTTGGTTTCATCATCCTCTTCTCGCCTGATTTGATTCTGAGCTTGTCTGGGATGAAAATGACCTCTTAAAGCAAAACTAAAACAAATTTTATGACATGCACTTCTGCAAAGTTGCTTTCATTGTTTGCGTCTTTTTAAAAAGTGAATTCTTCTTCTTAGGTACATCGCAATCGTCCACCCGAGCTCGGAGAAGAGGACCGTGCAGTGGACCATCATCATCAACCTGCTGGTGTGGCTGGGCAGCTTGCTTCTCACCGTGCCGGTCATGATATACGCCAAGGTGGTCCGCAGGCAGCACTTGGAGATTTGCATGATGTACCTGGACGGGCCTGAAGACATGTACTGGTACACTCTCTACCAATCCATCCTGGGCTTCATCATCCCCCTCATCATCATCAGCACCTTCTACTCGCTGACCCTCTACCACGTCTTCAGCTCCATCCGCCGGGTCAAACGGAAGCAGTCGGTGTGGGCCAAAAGAGCCACCAAGATGGTCCTGATGGTCATCGCCCTGTTCCTGATCTGCTGGTCGCCGTACCACGTCATCCAGGTCATCAACCTGAGCAACAACACGCCCACCATCACCTTCATCTACGCCTACAACATCAGCATCTGCCTCAGCTACTCCCACAGCTGCATCAACCCGCTCATGTTGCTCATCTTCGCCCAGAACTACCGCGAGCGTCTGTGCCGCCGGAACGCGCTGCACAGCTCCCAGCACTCGTCCAAGGTCACGGTGGTCAAAACGGACGGTTCCAGTACGACGAACGACCCCAACTATCGCTGCACCGTCATCTAATCGGAAGTTACAGACACAAGTTAATGGAAGTAGCTCGAACGAATGGTGACGCCTGTGAAGTGATTTTTTCCATTTTTTAAAATATAAATAGGTTTGAAAAACATTGATACCACGTAAAAAAAAAGACCCTGAAACATGAGCTCCACTACTGAAAAAAAAACAACCAAATAAAATGCAGGTCATGTGATTCGTTTGTCTTTGGGACTTGGAGCTTTCATTAACCTTTATCAAACATCGGCTACACCCAGCGTCACGCTGCTCTGCGACAACACCGAAGTGCAGCTTGTGAGATCTATCAGAGGCAAACATTTGAGGGCGTGAAATGTTGTGATGCCTTCGCTATAGGTGGGAGTGAGAGCGTTTGCCAGCTTCCACAGGGCTCATGGTGAAGCTTAATTCCACTGCGTGAGTTGTTTGATGGATTATTTAGACTGAACAGATGAACTGCACCGAGACAACTTTCTAAAAATGACCATTTTATACAGGGGTGTATGATTTGCAGTTGCTTTAATAATGCATAAGTTACTCCATAGACCAGCTATGAGCAGTTGCATTTATCCATTTTTGTAATAAAGCAGTTATAAATGCTTGTAGTCCTTTATAGTTTCCCACTTTGAGTTGTTACAGTTAATTAATTAAAGGGTTGCATTTGTGGGTGAAAACCAGGCAGTGGTAGTTTTCACACTCTGACAACCCAAATTTAATTATTTTTTAAATCATTGTATAAAGCACGAGTGAACCACGTATCACCCATGGCCACAAACGGTAAACCTTTGTGCCGTATGATTGTGATATGACAAGCAAATGTAATTTTTTACAGCATTTTCACGGTCGTCAGACATCAGAGAAACCGCACAGTTGTTTGTTTTTCTTGGATTAGTAATTCTCAGTCGGCATGTTTAAAGTCTGTTAACATAATTGCAGATGGCTGACTGCTGTACAGAGCGCTGTATCTCACGAGTGTTCCCTAACGACTGGCGTGCAGCTAATAACGGATGCGAACAGTTAGCACACAGTTTTGATGAAATGTGTTTGTCGTAAATGTCGTATTTAAAGAGAGTTTTCGTCTATTGCGGATTCCAAGTGTGAGTTGTTTTTTTTTTTTTTTTGCTGTTCCTGGACTCTGCAAAAACAACCAACGCCTCAAAATGGTGGAAAATGCAACACATGTGACATTGATAGAAAAATAAATAAATAAACGTCCCACCACAATGAATCTTTCAGAATATCAAGGCAGGCCTGCCGTGGTTACAGTTTTTATGGGCGGCTTCCAGAATGTTATTCATCAGGCATTCAGGGCTTCGTTTCTTCTTATTTATCCCCGTCCTTAAGCCTGCTGAGCTGCTATAACCATAATTGAGCTACACGCCTCGCCACCGCTGTCCTGTTATCAGCCGGAGGTCAACGGAAAGAGAGCTTCTAAAAAAAAAAAAAACTTTTTTTTTTACTGTGCAGGATATTTGGTGAAACTATTTAATGATGTCGATGCTATATATTGATTTATGGGGTGACGACTGTCCTAATTTGAGATGTTCTTTTTGTTGTGTACATTTATTATCTCAGTCAGATTGTGGCTGTAAAGTGTATTTTTGTGATAAGGATTTTTTTTTTTAAGAAGCTCAAAGGACACATGCAGTGATATTGTGGGACAAACACAGCATGATGGAGGTAATTTTCTCACATCAGTGTTATTTGCCTGATTGTACTGTATGTGTGCATAATGGAAAAAATGACAGGAAATGTACAAGAAAGTCTGCGTTATTGAAATGTTTATGGTGACAAAGAGGAGTCAGTGAGGGACGAATCGGCATCGACCTGATAGTTAATGAAGCAGTTAGTGGATTGAACTGAGGTCTGTATGGTGGATGACCGAGTAGAGATCAGACAGCAGTAATGAACCGTTAGTGATGACTAACGATTAGGTGTAACATCACTATCTTCAGGCTTCTGATTACCGCTAAACCAGCAGCCGAACAGCACAAACTACTAGTCATTCGTCACTAACTAGTCGCCTATCATCCTGAGTAATTGTGTCTTCTTTACTATTTTTATGTTAAAGTGTAGTTTGGTGGTGTTAAACTAACAAGGACACGGTTCAGCCGAGTGTACGGTTTGTTTCTCAGTAACAAGCCAGACAGAGTACATTCGTTAATTATTAAGTCGGTCTTGTTTCCTCCTCACTCATTCCTCAGCAGCTAATCACATTTTTGTGCACCGTATTGTAAAGTGTTGCTGTATTTTCAGGCAGTAAAATGTGACACACAGTGTGTCCTGTGCACAGATCACTCCTCCATCACTCTTCTGTGTGTTGTGTTTCCTCAAATCAGTCACCATCTGGGCCCTGGAGCCGTATGTTCTGTGGAACTTTTGTGGTGTTTTGATATTGTGCAGATTTGTGTGGTACTTATTGGTAAATGATTTGAACCGAGCTGGAAAGGATTTTTCTGTGGTGTCCAGTGGATTTTATCCTGCGGTTGAGATCCCAGATTCTAAAAGGGAGCCTGTGTTGCCTTTTATTTGGCCCTCAAGTGATTTCGTGTCACAACTTAAGATGGACTAACAACAGGACAACGAGGGGACTTTAAAAAGTTCTCACCAGAAAATGTCACAGGAGAAAGATTGGGGGGGGGTTGTTTGTTTTTTCACTTAATCTTATAACATCGGCTACGTTCAGACTGCAGGATAAAGTGATCCAAATCCGATTTTTTTTTTTCCCCCTATGCGACCTGTTTCTGATCTTTTCATGACAGTCTGAACAACACAGATCAGATGTTTTCAAATGTGACCCAGGCCACTTGGAAATGTGGTCCTAAATCTGATCTTCTACCATGTGAGTTTTGTCTAAACATCCAGGTCGCATTTATCTGACCTACACATCATTGATAGACGACAAACTAGGGCTGGGCCGAATAGCACTTTCTAGACTCCGGATATGAATAAAGTATTTTTTTTCATTCATATTCAGGCCCAATTAATGATGAATATCCGAATATTCGGCTTTTGTGACACATTTGGGTCGTATGAAGTTCACACAGGAGATCACATACAAGTCGCATTTAACTGAAATTGAGCATTAAGTCCTGCAGTCTGAACGTAGCCGAAGTTTCCTTTAACTTCACTGCACTCGGTCCACAGATGCTAAAGCTTTGCTATCCCTTCGTGGAAGAAAGTCACATCTTGAGATCCCAAGAATCCTGAACAGCATGCATGACCTCATCATCAGTCTGAAAATGGCGACCACACAAGTAGGATATTTGTTCAGGAAACAGAAGTTAGATGAAAAAAGTCCACGGGGCAACAGTTCAAAACCACATCTGGCTGCTTCGGAAACCTGTGCATGCTCGCTCAAAGGTTTCCTCTTGCAAAGAAATGACGACAAGCCGTTGAGTTTTTGTGGACAGTGATATAAGGCTTTAGGGTGAAGAAACAAGTCTTGTCCATTTGAGAAAAATGGAGAGAAGTCTTCAGGATTCATCTTCAGGATTCATCTTCAGTAGTTGTAGTTGTAGTTATTCTTCCACGTTAGCTGGTTTTGGAGGTGTTTCATGCTATCTGGAGCACCTGGAGCCAAAGACAACAAAAGTAGCAGAAACTGTTGATCAGTCCTGTGAGTTAAACATTTTCTACGTCAGAACATACTTGTCTCATCTCACAGTATGCAAATTAGCTAATTTTTGAAAAAGACAAAAACCAACTCAAATGTTTCTAAACAACTGGGGACGAGTTTTGAGAAAAGTCTGTAATTGAAACACCGCTTTAGACATCCTGACAAACCTCTGGATCCTAAATGTCACTTTTCATATCTGTTTGTTGAACTTTCCATATATTTCAGCCTCCAAAACCCACACCTTTACACTGCAGGTATAAATTTAAAACCTAATCCAACATAACCCCTGACAGACATGATGGTGAACTCATTCAGGTTATCAGCTCCTTCAGAGTCACAGAAAATATCACGCAGCAGTTTTCACCAGCTTTAAATGAAGACAAGACACGACTAGGTTAAAAGGGTTTAAACATTTAAAATGTATTTCCATAAAACTCTCCCAGTTAATACTCATATTAACACACTCATTTCTTTTTCTGAAATGTTATTCTTGTCTACACAAACTTTAATAAATTTCCAGAACAGTTATCTGAAGCCAGGTTTCAATTTTTTCATTCTATCTTGTTGAGTCAAAGGTTTTTACAGAGAAGATTTGGATATCTCTTTTTATTACTCCATCAATCTGAAAGTACTGTCAACAGCCAGAAAAAAAAATCCATTTTCACCATGTTTTTAGGAATGAAATGTTATATAAATCAGGCAGGCTGTGAGTGATATATGAAGAAAATCTTCAAGTAAAAACCTTCACAGCATTGATTGAAATATAATTGGAAAGTTTGGTGAATGTACGTGCTTCAGAAGTTCAGAATTCTTCCTCAGAGAAGGAGAAGAAAAAAAAAAACTTTCTTTTTCTTTTTCAACATATTTTATTGGAAACCATGAGACCCCCACAGCTGCTTACTTACTTGTGTGTCTGTGCAGAGTGCACAATCGACAAAGTGTAGTAAAAAAAAACAAACACCTGAATGTGTATTCTTTCATTCTCTTTCAAGCAATTGAAAGTGCACAAAGGAGAATAGGCACAAAATCTCAAAATCGACCAAAGTCTGAAAAATGAGGTTTTTGCCCGTAATGTTCCACCTTGAACAACAAAGTGTGTCTTTTGTCATTGCTCTCCAGAAGAACACATGAAAGCTTTTTCCGATCTGACACCACTTTTGGCAAAGTGGCATGTTTTTTTTCTGTACCTTGCAAAACATCTTTTTTTGTGTGTGATTTGGCAGCTTGACTTTAGATACAACTTGGTTAGGGTAGGGTATGGTTTGAATTAAAATTCGTTGAGGACCTTCATCACGATACCGTAAAACACACTTTGTGAACGACTGCATTTAAGGACAAAAGAAAACAGAGTTGACTGATTGTAGGAACCTTGAGAGCCGTCTCCCGAGTCAGACGCTTTGTTGACTCATTCATCTGCCCCGACCTCCTCTCTCAGTGGGATTTGTGTCTCTATAACAACATCAATAATTTACACTCCTTTGACAAGACCTACCAGAAGGCTTTGCTCTTGATGAAATTGAGTGAAGCTGTTGTTTGTACCGGGACGACAGTCTCATTTTCTCCTCTGTGTGTGAAATTGATGTTATTTCCCTTTAAAGTTTCCGTCAACAGCTTGTTTACATTCTCTCTAATCCTGATCAAATTACCACAAAGTGACTTGGACCCTACAGGTTTCTTTTTTTCTTGCCCTGGAGGCCAATATTGGGTTAATTCCGCCCTGACTTTTTTACAATCTTCTCAGTGTTTGGTATTGTTAAGCAGTTTTTTGTTTGTTTGTTTGTTTTTTGGGACATTTATGGTGTTGCAGTGATGTAATTGTATCAACCACTGTATGAACTTTATATGGTTAATAAAAGGTAATGACGATACAGTATGTGAGTTATTTATTCCAGATATTTACTGTACAGTTATGAGTGGAAAAACTGCTCTGTCACCGGAAACACGCTGACAGTCTCAATTAAGCGGCGTAAACTGTTGCCCAGAGACTGTTGTCACTTTAATTTAAAACATCAGCGCTCTTATTTCTTGCGTTTACAACCATAAAGAGTATCTGGAGGAGATTCAGGCTTTGGTGCAGTGGGTATAAATCAGATGCCTCTTTGATCGTCCTCAGCCACATCAAACGAAGAACATGACTTGGCTTCGCGAGCCGATGCCAAGTGTGGCAGTACAAGGCGCCCGCTTGAGAATAAGAAGCACAATCATTTATTGTGTTGTGAACGTCTGTTTGCCTCCGGTTCTGTGACGCTGTCGTAGATGTGTGACCTTTTTTGGAGGCAGGAGTCCGACAGCGAAAACTGTTTCAGAGTCACAAACAATCCACTTAAGTGACCCCGGACGACACCTCTGCCTTGTTTCTAGTTTGATTCCCACATTAAGGATCGCACTGTGAAGCTGACGAACCGAATTAAAGCCGTCAGAGCAATTTTACAGATGACTTTTTGGGTTTTTTTTTTTTCTTTTTTTTAGGAATTATCAATGTTTTGGTGCAGTTTGATTTGGGGTTTGTGCACACGGTTGAATCAA